AATCAATATGGTTGTAAAGAAAAACACAAAGTAAAAAGAAATTTGGAAAAAACAAACTTATAAACCCAAATATAAAGAATATTATAAACAAGGGAAAGAAAATATTTCCGAAATAGAAACAATATAAACAAAAATATCAATCCAAAACAAATTATTGCCCATCGAATAAAAAGACTGTAAATGTTGGATATGTCAAGAAGAAGGACACAAAGCTTATGAATGCCCGAAAAAGACTAAAAAAGAAAAGAAACAAATATTTAAAAATTGCATACGACCTTGGATACGAACCCATAGAAGATTCAGATATAAATTCAGATATAGATATTTATGCATATACAACTGATTCTGATTCAGATGCAGGTACATAATCCTATGGAAAAAGTATTACTAGAATTAAACTTGAGGGAAACCTCATATCTAATCTATCTGGAATATACATTGCTAAAGCATACAATGGTATGAAAGTACCATCTGAAGTAAACAATAATAAAGTATACAGTGATATGAATATATCACCAAAAGCATACAGTGATATGAATATATCACCAAAAGCAGACATTGATATATTCATATCACTGTATGCTTTTGGTGATATATTCATATCACTGTATACTTTATTATTGTTTACTTCAGATGGTACTTTCATACCATTGTATGCTTTAGCAATGTATATTCCAGATAGATTAGATATGAGGTTTCCCTCAAGTTCTAATTCTAGTAATACTTTTTCCATAGGATTATGTACCTGCATCTGAATCAGAATCAGTTGTATATGCATAAATATCTATATCTGAATTTATATCTGAATCTTCTATGGGTTCGTATCCAAGGTCGTATGCAATTTTTAATATATTTGTTTCTTTTTCTTTTTTAGTCTTTTTCGGGCATTCATAAGCTTTGTGTCCTTCTTCTTGACATATCCAACATTTACAGTCTTTTTTATTCGATGGGCAATAATTTGTTTTGGATTGATGTTTATATTGTTTTCTATTTCGGAAATATTTTCTTTCCCCTTGTTTATAATATTATTTATATTTGGGTTTATAAGTTTGTTTTTTCCAAATTTTCTTTTTACTTTGTTGTTTTTCTTTACAACCATATTGATTTACTTTGTTAGAAAGGATGTCACAACATAAATCTATTTTTGCATCTTGTGCTGTTTTTTGTTCTAAACATTTTTTCTGCATCCATGCTTTTAATATGCTTATTCGTGCTCCTAAGGTGTTTGCTTTATTTTGTTGTAATGCTTCTTGGAAATCTTTTATTACACTTTGGCTTACTAATGATGGTAATTTTTGATAGAACATATCTAATGCTGCCTTTTTTCTAATAGAATCTAGATTATAATAATGTTCAGAATATTCACATATAAATGGTTCTAGATAACACATATTACAAATTCGTAAATTAGTTAAATGCCATAGTGATTCTAATTGAAAAGCTTCTTTTGATATTTTATCTTCAATTTGTTTTCCTATGAATTCCTGAATAAGACGGCTTAATACATTTTTAAATGTTTCTATAGCATCGGTGGTGGCTATCATCATTGTTTCGGTTTCATCAAGAGATGAAAGGAAACGATATGCGTTACCTTGTGTTTTATGAATGATATAATTAAGAAAGTGTTTTGGGTGTAAAATTTCTTAATTCTTCGGTTAACTGAATTTGTACTCCCATTTTATTACTCCATTCTTGAATTTTTGCTTCAGGATTTTGGTCACAATCAATAAAAAGAATATCTGAATTTGTTGGAAAAGTAAATAATTTAGGTATGTATTGAGGAGGTATTTTTTCCCATTTGTTTTGTTTATTTTTAACCATTCCTTGTCTATATAAAAAATTTCTTCTAATGAAGGTGGTCCATAAATATATTGACTTTGATAATCATCTTCAACATATGATTGTTTTCGTTTTAATCCAAAATTGTTTTGTGAATCTCTATATGGATTTGAATAAGGGTTTCATCATCTGAAGAAAAATCATATATTACTTCTGCGTCATTATCATCTGAATTATTTTCTATTTCTATATTATTTTCTTGAGTTTCAGATGGAATTTCTAGTGCTGCAAATAATTTAGTTAGTGTTTCTACTTTTTCTTGTAAAGTTTTCATATATAAAATTTTTAGTTTCTTTTTTCTAGTGAAGTAGTTGTTTTTTCTATCATATTTAACAAATTAATTTTGTTATTTTATCTTCAAGGTTTTTTATTTGTTCTTGTTTCTAATTTATACTATTATTTATTATATGTATTGCTTCAATATTAGATATACAATTTATCATTGATATGTCAGAATCTATTTTTAAGTCTAAAAGAAATTTTTTAGATTGTTTCAATGTTTTACGAAAAAAATTTAATTCTTGTTTATTTGTATCTAGACTTGAAAAACTCATGATTATAATTTTATAATAATAATAGTTTAGTTTCGTTTTAGATTTAAAGTTACGATTAAAGTTTATTTAATAGTAGTGGTAATTATAATAGTGTTTAAAAGACATATGTTTTAAAATACAAATAGTTTTGTTTTTAGACGTCGTATTTGCTTGTAACGGATTTTAATACTAGTTCTTATGAAATATCTAACATCATGAATATGGTTATTGTTTAAAATCGTACCTTGATTATTAGGTTTGTAAGAATCCTTGAGATTTTTCTTAGAATTATTTATAGATTCTTGGATTTGTTGTATTCTTAAAATAATATTTTTATTAGGAATACAATTCATCAAAATTTTGTTAGACATAAATATATATTTCAAGCATGAATTTGATTAATTTGATTATTAAGAACGAATATTATTTTAATAAAAATTTCAAATTTTGTAGAATTAATAGTTAAAATAACTCGAAATGATACTATCATTAAGAAATAAAAGTAATCTAACAATTGAAAATATCTTGAGACATATTTATGGTATTAAATCTTCTTACGATAAATATTTTAATTGTTGATAACTTTTTTAAATATGAATATTTAAAAACAATGGTTATTTATTATCATGTTTATGATGTTTATTATGTTTATGATGCTTATCATGTTTATGTATATATTCTTATTAACGATAGATTGAATATGCAAACTAATAATAAGAATAATAAGAACGTTACTTAGCTCTGATACCAAATTGAAAAACATGGCGGAATTAATATGATTAGGATAGAATATACCTGAATGATGCGTCGGAATGGATTGATTGTCTGGGTTTGATATGTTTATATGAATATAAGGATATGTTTGGATAGGGTTCTGCTATTCAGAAATAGACGAGCTATTTCAACAGAAGAAGACTGAGATCAACTCAAATCTTAAACACTCAATTTTAGCTTGTTTATTTCATATGGGCAAAAGCCCTATTTATAGGCTCAAAGGAGCCGAGTACAATAATAGAATTGCAATCGGTTGATTGCAATATGACAAACCTATTTACATTAATGCCCCCTAGAGTATTGAAGGTCTTACATACTTTATTTTACTATACTACCGACACTTTGCATACAATAATTATAAAAGACAAAACCTAAATAATTACAACTCCTTTCTATATTGAAAGACCACATGTCTTCAATAATGTATCCTTTATAATAATGGCTTTTTATGTCATTGCTTACGTCGTTCCTTCATATCAGAAAATAGGTGTGAACTGGGTGTGGAAGTGACGTCGAAATATAAGGGGGGGGGGACGAGGAATCACAGTATATCAAATTGCTTTTGGTCCTTCATTAGGTTGTTCTTTCTGATCAGCGTGATAAGTGGATTTGGAGTTTAGATTCCTCAGGTGAGTTTTCTGTTTCAGTGTTAAGGAGATGGATTAATAAATTCATTCGGCCACACAAACTAGATAGAATAGATTCCTTCCTCGTAAAGTTAATATTTTGGCTGGAGAATTAGAATTGATAGACTTCCTTCTCTTACGAATCTCGATCTCGGGGGAGTGGATGTTCCTTCCACTTTTTGTCATGTTTGTAATTTGGAAGTTGAACAGCTTAGTCATATTTTTTAAGATGTGAGGTGGCAACCAAAAACGTGGGATGGATTTTTTAGATGGCTTGACATTCTCGTTGTCCAATTTTCCTTCCCAATGCAAGTATTTGATTATATTGACTCCTTACATTCATGTTCTATTAAGAAGAATGATATTGATATTGTGGTGGGTACTACTTTGTGGTATATTTGGCGATTTAAAAATGACGAGATTTATGCTCGGGAAAGATGAGAAGAGATGATATTTTAGATTCTATTCGTGAATTTTTTTTGTATGGTTTTCCAATAGAAATATGAATTGCACTGTTAAATGGACTAGCAAGTTGTAATGTCCTCTAAACTCCTTGTAAATTGTTGTTTTTCTAGCATCTTGCTAAAGTGTTTTCTTAATATTATGTTGCCTGTTCTAAAAAAAAAAAAAAAGGGAGGGTGTACAGTTAATAATGAGGTATGCATATAGACTAACCTGTTTAAATCAAATCAAGGATACATATAAATATAACAATATGTTACATGAAACAATAATATAATAATAATTTAAGTGACAATAGAGATTAGCCATTAAAAATACTCTAAGTCTAGAAACTAAAATATCCATAAAAAAAGGTATTCGAACAAGAAACCCAAAAGTATATATACTTAACCATGAAAAACTAGAAAGAAACCAATGTCAACATTATACATCGAGGAAATGCAAAACTAAAAGCATTAATTGATAGACATGGAAATGCATCAAACATTATTTAAAAAAAAAAAAAAAAAAACTTATATTTTTTTGATAGAAATGAAAATGCATCAGTGTATATTATTTTTTAAAAAAAATGAAATTATTATTTTGAAATTTTTTTTGGTGTCATGGTCTTATTTTAACACCTACGTACCCCATGCAGAACCGGCCATACGAAAACTCGTGTCCAACTTCCGTAACTACCAAACTCTTCGTCTTCTTACAAAAGCCTAAATAAATTCTCTGTCATTTCTTCTATTTCCTTATTTTCTTATTCTCCCATTCATCTTCCATGGATTCATCATCATCAATGTCATTAACGGATCGGGTCAACTTTAGGACACGAGTCCTAACCAGCCATCTCAATAACTACCAAAACCCCACCACCGAACTCGTACAAACCGCCGTATGTGTCAGCTACTCCCCACCGGAACTGTCTGAGCCGCCGTTTAGTTTCGATACCAAGTCCCTCCGTAAGCTCCTAGACGGCCAGAATATTGCTGTAATCGACAATGTGTTCAATCTGATGATGCAGAGCAACCTGTTTTGCCCAAGAGAAAGAGGCGGCAAAGTGTTTATTTCGCCGGATTTTAATCAGTCGACTGGAGCAACAGAGAGAGATGACGATGAAAAGAATTGATTACTTGAGAGAACAGGGAGCTTTCGATGGGTGATTTTCTAAGAAGGGACCTGAAGGTGAATTGTGGAGATTTGCTGTTGCTGAAACTGTTGGTGTTTTTGATCATCCTCTATCGATTAAGCTTGGACAATCTACGCATACCAAGAGAAAACTTGTTGAATTCGGTTGCTGACGTGTCACCTGATGGGCAATATTTGAGTGCAATAAAAGATCCAGATCAGCGATTTGGAGCCTTTATGGCCCCATTAACAACTAGCCGGATACCTACTGCCGTTGTTGCAATGAACGCCACAAAGGTGCTACAAACTACACACTACCACACCTAGACTTAAGTTCACACTTCATATATTCTAGAAGGGGGTAATTCGTAATCAACATAACACCACAACACACTTTTTTGTCTCGCACCCTACTCTCTCTCAATTCCTTTCACCTAGTACTTGAAAGCAATTAGTCATCTTTACTTTTTTTTTTTTTTAATAATCTTACAAGTCATTTTATAGTACACACATGATCTTTCATTTCATTATTGATTTTAAATTTTTTCAAATTGTTTCTACTAATGTTTTATCAGATTGGTTTAGCGATTACAATAAGGTACTCATTGACTAGGCGAGCCTTTTCAATTAGACCAAATGAACCAGAAGTTCTCCTACTTGATTATCCCAGTCATCAAAGGCGGCTCATACCTCTTATAGCAAAAACGTAAGTACCTAAATTTCTCGACAATTAAAAAGTTACTAGGTAGTATGTGGGATAAATGGAAGAAATAGCAATGCACTGTCTATTTACTTCTTGTACTAGCTTTGTACTTTCATTTATTCTTATTACAACATTGTACTTTCAAGTTTTTTAATTTTTTTTTTAATTTTGATTTTGTACTTCAAAAAAGTTATCCAACCTCAATGTCACAACTTAAACAACTTTTTGTGTCGTGTCATTGTCCATATTGGATATCCATGATCAATATAGTGGTGATCTAACAAAAGAATCTTATATAAGATTTTTAAACTTAGAATTTTTTTTTCCTTTTCTCCATTTTAGCATCAAACTTCCTTTTCTTATTATGACATTGTACTTTTATTTTTATCTTATCAAGAAATTATACATTAAATCGAGATTCTTACACCAAAAGCAAGCTTGGCATATCATTTTGGTAGAAAATATTAAGTTTGAAAGTGTTTTATAATTTTATTTTGTCATGTCAATAGTATATTACATTTGGTCATCCAATGCAGACAATGACATGGCATAAAAACCTGTTAACATGTGCCATGTAACTAAAAATTGATTCAAAAGGTTACCATTAATATAGTGAAAATTTCAAAGTACAATTTGTTGGGTTTAAACTTGTTAAAGCCATTGCTTACAACTAAAGTAAGAATAGTAAATAAGAAAGGAAAAGGAAAAGGAACAAGATAAATTTAATGCTTAAATCTTAAGCTCTTATTAAAAACATGAGAACCATTACATCTATTTATACTAATATATAGAATCCTAATAACCAAATAATAAAATAAGGAAACTTTTCTAAATTACCCTTACTCCTAAAGTTCTAAATTATCCTAACACTCACCCCCCCCCCCCCCCCAATCACAATGTATTACTTCCTTCACTCCTATAAGCTCCCTCATTATCTTTTTTTCGAACCATCTCGATTCTCGACTTTTCCCGGACACTCGGCCTCCACTTCGATCACATCTAAAGTCTTCTTTCAACTGTTTTTGATTGTTCACAACACATGTAACATATAACATGACATCCCGTTGGACAAGTTCATTAGCATCTCGACTTTTCCCGGATCTACAACCACATCCAAAGCCAACCGATTTGAACTTCCACTGCCATTATGTTAACACTTTGTTGTTTCTCCATTCCCTCTTGTCATGACAGCTATACCTTTAACTATCAATCATATTTTGATAGATTCTTCTATCAATCAAGACAAGAAGGTCACCAACACTTTTACCATCTTCTATTACCCGCAACATGAACCAAACTCTAAGCCACCTGCTTTGTCGATCAATCATAATCCAACACTAATAGAATCCTTGTGCAATATGACTATCGGAATTAAACATAACTAAATAATAAAATAAGGAAACTTTCCTAAATTACCATTACTCCTAAAATTTTTGAATTATCCTAACATAGTTCCCTAATAGGATATTATTTGAAGGTGTAATGTTTTAATTATAGAACAAAACATAAAGTACATTGCTCTTTTTTCATTTAGATCTTAATACATTTCTGAAAGTTTTTTTTTTATAGTATGTGCTTGTATATGTTGCTTCTTTGACATTTACTATGTTTGTTTTAAGTTTGTTCTAACGTTTATCTTTTTTTTTATTTGGCAGATATGCTATGAGTTTTGCTTCCAACTATTTGATGATATATGTGAAAAGAACACCCGAATCAATTAAAACAGTTCATGTCGTTTCTAGTGCACTCAAGGTTATTTCAACCTGGCATTGCATGCGAACCCTTCAGGTCTACAAATGCACATGACATTGTTGTTGTTGTTGTTGTTACTACTACTACTACTACTACCACTACTATTATTGTTATTAGTTCTACCAGTGTTCTAAAAGGTAAGCTTATATTGTCCTAATTTTATGTCAGGGATGTCGAGAAGCTTGTGGTGGGCAAGGTATTAAGACAGAAAATCATGTTGGTCATTTAAAAAGCGAATATGATGTGCAGTTGACTTTTGAAGGTGATAAAAATGTTTTAATGCAACAGGTAACATTTAATATATAGTTTAAAAACCATTATATATTTGTTTTCAAGAATTAATAATCATAATATGTGTATCATAAATCAGGTTAGCAAGGCATTACTAGTAGAGATTTTGGCAGCTAAGAAAAGGAACAAACCAATTAAAGTTTTGGGACTAGAACACTTGAACAAACCTACTCCAGTTATCCTTTCTCACCTTACAAGCTCTACCCTCAGAACCAGTCAGCAGCAGGTACTAAATTAATTTCTTTTGTATAAATTGATCAATTAGAACGCATTAAAGTATTTAGAAACATTCTTCTATTTGTGTATGTTGCAGATTGACATTTTTTGCTTACGGGAGAGAGATTTGTTGCAACGTTTTGTAACAGAAGTATCGGGAGAAGGTAAACATATTTTTACAGTGGTGAGGTAGATCTTCTAAAATTTGGATCGACCTGTTACACTATTTAAAATTATGTAATTAGAGTGTATTATGAATTTATCAGATGTATCAACTTGCTGAGGATGTGGGGAGAGCCTTTGCAGATCGATTAGTTCTACAAACATTTGTTGATGTTGAAGCAATTGTTCCAGTCGGCTTTTTGAAGGTAAGCTTTTTTAAAATTCGATGAAACACATGAATCGGTAAGATTTTATTTTTATTAGCATGAAGAAATGTGAAAATAAATGTTGTGATGAATATGGTTGCAGGATGTGTTGGGGTTAATGAGGTCAATGTATGTGATGATTGTGATGGAAGAAGATAGTTCATTTATGAGATATGGCTACTTATCAATAGACAATGCTGCAGTGGTTAGGAAAGAGGTTCTGAAGCTATGTAGGAAGTTAAGACCACATGCACTTGCATTGGTGAGTTCGTTTGGAATCCCTGATGCTTTCTTGGGACCTATAGCTTTCAACTGGATCGATGCCAATGTGTGGTCTTTGGTTTAAAGAAAATACATATGGAAATTTACCTTCTAGATTACATCTTTTACGAATAAGGATGACTCCATATGTTGTAAGAACAAGTAATGAAATTGTTTATGTTGTTTTTTTTAGTTTTATATATATATTCCCTATTGCACACACAATCATGTGGATCTAATAAGGACTATGTTGGGTTTAATTCTGACTTTAGTCAAAACTGGTGACCGGATTTTTGGGAAATAAAATGGGTGCTGCATTTTCTTTAGGAGTAATTCATTCATGTGTTGTTATTTAGTATTTAAAGTTGTGTTTGTTTTTCATTTTACCGAGTCTTTAGGAAATGTAGAGTGTTTGGTGACTTAGTCTTGTGTAAGTTGGTTGGATGTAAGCCTATTTAAGATGATGAATAAAGTAAACACTTTCCATTTTTCCTTTGTTTCTTCTTTCTCTGAAAAATCTGTCACTTTTATTTGAGGAGTTGTTTCCTATTCAAAAGAAAGAGCTTTATATTCTACATTTGGTATCAGAGCCCTAGGCTCGTGGGATCTATGGAAGGGGTTCTATGTGAACCATAGAGTTCAGAGAAGGTCGAAGCTCTGTGTGAGCCGAACAAAGCTTTGTGTGAGCTGAGTTCAAAACAATAAATCTGTGTGATTAGAAACTGCATATGTTTGATGTGTGATTGTGTTTTTTTGAAGATTAATCTGTGTGAGAGAAAGGGTTGTGTGTTGAACGAGTTCAAAAACAAAAATCTGTGTAAAGAGAGTTTTAAAGATCAATTTGTGTGAGTTGAAGTAAAGGTTGTGTACTGGATCGATTTGAAGTTCTCAGTGAACCAAGAAGACAAGGAACATGTGTGCTGAAGCTAACCTATGTGTAGAAGCTAGTCAAAGTGAGAAAGAAAATCAGAAAAGAAGATTTTTGTGCACCTATAAGTGTGTGTGGGGGTCGAAGAAAAGAAGAAGATTAGAAAATAACTCAGATCTATGTGTCATGTGTGTTGGTTGGTACTGTACAAGAAAAAAGGGTTGATATGAAACAGATTATGTTTCATGTTCGTTTTTCAGTCTTGATGAAGGAGGTTGCCGAGTTGTTTTTGCCGAATCAGGAGGAGCTGATGGTTGTACTGGTGAGGAATCTAGTAGATATGAAATTTGGCTGAAGAAGAAGAGAAGTGGAAGAAGAAAACGGCCAAGGTGATGATTGATAAAGGTTGTGCTAACTGTGAAGAAGATGATGCAGGAGATAGCTAGTTTATTATGGTTTGATTTCCCAGTTCTACAGGTGGCAGTTGGTCGAGATTGCTAGGGTATGGTCAAGTCAGAATTAAGGGGGGTGATTGTTCAGTTTAATTCTGACTTTAGTCAAAACTGGTGACCGGATTTTCGGGAAATAAAATGGGTGTTGCGTTTTCGGAGTAATTCATTGGGAAATCTCCAGAAAAGTCCTAAAATTTTACTCTAATTTACGAAAAAGTCCCAAACTAAATATTGTTTACAAAAAAGTATGAATTACCGGTAAAAATGACGATTTGACCCCTTTTTCCCGGTTTACCGGTTTTATTACTTACCTGTTTCACTAAAGTCCCATTATTTTACCATAATTTGCGAATAAGTCTTAAAATAAAATTTACTGATGATTTGATCATTTTCTCTATGTAACATACATTTTACAGGTTTTTTTGCTGACCCGGACGCCTAGTAATTAAATGAGATGATGAGATGGATATGTTGAGTTATATAATGTTATATTTAGCATAAAACTTGATATCCTGATGTATTGTATATCTTTTTGGAACATAAAATGCATCCAACGAAGACTACAATAATTACATAAACTAACAACAACTGCGTTATTTTTTACGTTTATAAGAAATATTAAATTGTCTATCTAATCTTATGTAACCCAATATATCCATCTCATCAGACATCAACTCATTTTCTGCCATTTTTTCTTAGAAACACACATTTTATTGGTTTCATTGCTGACGTAGATACATAGTCACAAATGAGCCGATGAGATGGGTATCAAATTTTACAGTAAATGTGACATTATATAACCCATCGTATTCATCTTATCAGCTAATTTAATGACTAGGTTTCATTGGGACTTTTTCGTAAATTAGGGTAAAATTTTAGGACTTTTCTGGAGATTTCCCTAATTCATTTATGGGTTATTATTTAGTATTTAAAGTTGTGTTTGTTTTTCATTTTACTGAGTCTTTAGGAAATGTAGAGTGTTGGGTGAATTAGTCTTGTGTAAGTTGGTTAGATGTTAGCCTATTTAAGGCACTTTTAGATGATGAATAAAGTAATCTGCACACTTTCCATTTTTCCTTTGTTTCTTCTTTCTCTGAAAAATTTGTCACTTTCATTTGAGGAGTTGCTTCTTTCATTTGAGGAGTTGCTTCCTGTTCAAAAGAAAGAGCTTTATATTCTACATTATGCCATTTTTTACATTGTGCATCATTGTTAGGATTTTATGTCTCGTTTTCTTTGAAAGGCGGTCTTCCTAGCCTTTTTTAGGTTTATTCAAATGTCTGATTGGTTTTCATTACCCTCAAACAAGGCTGGAATCAAGATTTTAGAATAAGGGCTAACATTGTAATAAGATATTAAAATATATTTTATATCGAACGGCATAATTAGAATGTCAAACTAGACGTTCGGATGTTCAAACATCCAAATTTTAGAAACCCATTTGCAAACCTAATGGGATATCCGAACTTTTTTGTCTCATTGTTTCTTTCTCCTTCCAATATACAATACAAATGAACCAATCATAAACTTTAATTAAATTTTCAATAGAATATATATGACAACGTAGCAACCTATTAGTTTAATTGATGCTTGTCTTCTTTTTATAAAAAAGGGTAAATTACACGAATAGTCCTTGTGGCTTGGGGTAATTTGCATGTTTGGTTCTTATCTTTTATTTTTAACTCGGACAGTCCTCATGTTATCATTTTGTTGCAGTTGTTGGTCCTGACATAAAAAGACTATTGTAACGACCCGCTGTAACGTACCCATCTCTGAAACTGATTTACCGATCGACAACTGCCCCATTTAGACTGTACATAAACATCCATAAAAATGAGCTGACAAGTTCCTCAACAACCGATACTCAACCTAATTGATCTGAGCACCTTCTCATCTACTCATTGGCATCCCAAAAAGGAACCAATGGCTACAACGAGCTCCTTGACCAACTACTTCCTGTTATGATACAACTCGTGTATCTCTTGAACGCATACATCTGATAGCCACCTACTCTACACCCTTGACTTGACCAAGCCTTGAACCGAGATCCCACCTACCCGCACTGCAGATTCCTATGAACCATTCTTCCAATATCACGAACTCGATCAGATCGATGATCCTCCAAAAAGAATACCTAGTTCTCCCCCACTTAGGGTTCGAACTACCACCCACTGGTGTTGCAGTCCAACCACATCTCAAAACCGACTCAACCAAAAACCAACCATCCCTGCATCTTGGATGGTGTAACACACACAAGATGATCTTCCAGATAAGGACCAAGCAAACCCTAAGAGATTCTAATTTTCCAATCTTATCCACCTTTAACATTAAGGATTTCATGCAAATGCATAAGCGAAACACCAACTTACTATCCAAAACCTACACTCTTTGCCTGCAATCTCCACCGTCAATCTGGTACCTGACTTGCCTATATCCAAGGATAACAGACCCTTTATCGCATCACTACGCATCGATACCACATCAATCCTCCTGCGCATTCCCATCCTATCATACTTCCACCAAACACCGCAGCCAACTAGACCCATGTTGGGTTTACATCCCAACTCTGAAAGTCACAAGCCTGCTCACTCCTTCTCGAAAACTGCCAGGATATAATCCTCGCCATAGATAGCGACATTCTAATCTATTTGTCAACCACTCAGCTTCCAGCTGTAATCCTCAAGTCGATCATAACAATTGTTTCCTTCTCGAGTCTCGCGACTCAAATGCACGGCCTCGAGCAAGGCCTTCGATACCCCAAAACCAACAAACTCACCTAGGTTTGTACCATTCAAACCCAAACTGACATCGCCATTGAAGCCTAAAACAATCACCAGACCCATCCTCATGCTTGAACAACCATAACCAAAAGATCAACAGATATGGAACCACTGCCACAAATCCTGGTAGCAAACCATGCTATCTTCCCCCACCGGCCCTTAGAATCCCCGAAATTTTCCTCAATTCGAGTATGGATCATGTGCTTCCAGTAGTATGGGTCCAATACTACCTTCCACACCTATGCATACTTTCCTCAAGGATCATCTCGGGCCCTCTAAGTCACCTACTCAATATAATATTCCCAATACCTGCTCGACATCGTAACAACCGCACTAAAATACTTCCTAGGCTCTCCTAGGATTCCCCACCTTCCCTGCCATCAGCTGCTGAAGAACCCCTACTAATGTCAGCTAACCACTTCATTAATACAATTACATGCAAAAAAGCTTAAATAATCTTTTGACTAAAGTACTTAACCCTACAACGGTTAGACTCAGACAAAAGTTGCGCAATAGGACCAAATCCTTCACTCTAAGATTATTTCACCTTCGTAGCATGTAATTTAACGTATTCATTTGATAGTTAACTCACATCAATATGCGTACTACGAAGCACGAAGCAAGCAACATTAGAGCAGTGGAGTCGACTGGCACTAAGACACAATAAAAAAATCAGGCAGATCCTCATATGAAATTTCCGACTTCTAGGCCCAAGCATATAGGATACACCCTCATCCTGTCATCACTCTATCAAGAGTGGCTAATCATTCTTCACGCTGACCTGCTATGAACTGCACCCACTGATGAAACTTCCACCAACCCTACAGTCACTCGTGCATGCTAATCATACATAACGCTAGATCCCATAGACAGTCGTATACTTGACTCTACCCTAAGCCCTTAATCAGACAAGAATAGGAAATAAAGCTAAGAAGTCCTCCTAGGCTATTAAGCATCATACATCAGACAATTCTATCATACAGCT